TGCATAAGAATATGATCCCAGTTAGTACAAAAAAAAGCACAACTAAATTCTGGAATTTTTTTTTGTTAGAACTATGTAGGAATAAAAAAGTACTTTTGTGCTAGGATTGTAGAGCTTGACACTATAAATGTGGAGCTTTGAGGTTACCATAGGAGAATGATCTACTGAAGATAAGACCATGTTAAGAAAAGCAGAATTAAAAGATCAAGAGGGATGCTATCTGAATGGCATTATATGAACACCTGGATATAGGCTCATATGAAAATAGAACTATGTCTGGACTTTTCAGTTGTGTGGGCTGAAATAAGTTCCTCTACCTTTTTTTTCTTGAGCCAGATAAGTAAACTACATTTCTTTCTCATCCATCAAAAGGATCCTAGATGTTTGGGTAGAGAAAAATGGACAATAAGAAGGAAGGAGGAAGAGGAAGAGGGAGAGGGAAGAGAGAAACTCCTGTAAAGGAAAAATAGATTGCTGAAGACTCTGGACATAGGGTAGATATGAACCAAGCCTGAGGCTCAAGGGTTAAAGAAGTTTGTGAACTATTAGAACAAGCTATCAGCAGAAATTCTGGATTTCTCCACAACTCAAGATGCTAAATGGGAACACTCAAAGGCAGGGTAAGTGTTCCAGTTGGCCTGAAGGTGAGGAGGTGAAGTGGAAGTGGGATCCAGGAGCAAAGGCTAACAGGTATGGAGCTGTTTCAACCTGGAGTTAAGAATGTAGCTGTTTACCTTTGCGATTCCCATTTTCACATGCATTTGTACCTTGGAATTCATCATAATACACAGCTGATTTATATTTAGAAAGCTGCCTGACAGTGTTTAGATGACTTACCACAGAAAGCAGAAACTGGAGGGACCAGATTACAGTACCAATGTCTAATTCACAAAGGAAATATTCTATTTCTTGCCTGTTGGGGTTGCAACTACACATTATGAATGAGTCTCTGGTCAATTCCCCATTGTCTTTCAGGAGTTAGAATGACTTTGAGTAGTTTCTGGTCACAGACTCACCATACATCCATTCCATCCACTTCATTTATTTGCAGATGGCAGGCATTGTGGCCAGTATATACAACTAAAAAGTTCCAGGTTAGTATAAAAGTGTCCCTGAGGTAGCTTACTTAAAAGTCTTGTTGTGCTGTGAAATCTATCTTTCAAAACTCTAAATACCATCCTTAGTTTCCAATGATGCCTGAGGGGTTCAGGAATCTACAATCTTTATCACCTTGGAGATTGAAACTCTCCTAATGCCTGGATTCAGCAGCTGTACTCATATTAAAAAATGCTGCTGAGCAGCTGGTGAAGATATAAATCAATACCAGGTTTACACTTCTGAAGCTTCGGTACAGACACCTCTTGACCTGACTGTCCAGCAGAGACCTTAAAAAATAAAGTGTAATTATGAACAATGCCACTCTGTGTTCAATATGCCCTTGTAAGTATTAGGAATCCCTCAAAATGAAAATTGTCTGGGACCATAACATATATGCTATTTAAATTAACTTTTCACAAGCATCTACAAGGAAAAAGGAGGCTCATCCAACCATTCAAGTGGAAATCTAATATTTTCTATTTTTAAATTTAACCACAGGGTAGCATTTTAAAATACCACACAATCTTCATCATTAATTAAACTGATGGAGATGATACAGTGGACAGGTGAAGCTTGTTACTGACACATTGTCTCTTTGAGCCCCTCATTTTAGAAAGGGATAAGGAAGTTAGCATCTGCTAAACCTATGCAACTGCAGGGATGATTAAAACAATTTGTATAATATGGTAACACTGTGTTATTATTACATCTAAATAGGAAGAAGTCAATACAATCTCAGCTAGAACACTCCTTTAAAGATTATATGTAATATTATATGACACTGATTCAGAATGATAACAGATTTGATATAAAGCAAACTTAAAAAACACTAAGATCAAAGTGATAGGAACAGAAACACAGTTTGGGGCAGAAGTTTTTCTTACTTATTATGAATATATAATAATTTTATAAAACATTTTGATGTAACACTCAGTATCTGGTGTGGTCTTTACAAACTAATCTTCAACGGAAAAGGCCTTTCCACCATTCATTCATTCATTCACTCATTCCACAGTACTTCTTTGGTATCTGCTCTGTTCTCTGAGTGTAGAACAGTAGACATAGTAGACAAGGTCCCTGGTGCCTGTGCTTAGGAAGCTGCAGTCTAATAAGAGAGATGTAAACAAAATATCCTCCTTATTATGGAAGTCCTATGAGAGAAAAGTACAGGATCTTGTTGAGAACAATGAAGACGGTACAAAATGTAAATGGAGAGTGGGGATGTCAGTTAAAGCGTTCTCAAAATAGGAGCGTTCATGGTAAGAACTGAGAAACTGAGAGAAGCCTAGCCTGGCCTTCAATTTTGCTAATGCTTTTCTCTGTTGGTTAAAGTGTGATATTAGTTCATCTAATGAAATTTTCAATTTTGTGATTTCCATTGGTTCTTCTTTTGGTTTTCATTGATTTTCAAAGCTCCCTATCTCCTTATGAATTATATTAATATTTTCTTATTGGTTGTATTTTAAACCTTTTATTTTAAAATTATTACAGACTCCTAGAATGCTGCAGAGATATTACAGAACGGTTGCAAGGATCCTTCATTCAATTCTGGTTGTGCTTTACCTAACTATTATACAGTAGCAAAACCAGGGACTGACATTTATATAACATGTGTATAGTTCTATGTAATTTCATTACACGTGTAGATTTTGTATAATCACCACAGCAATCAAGCTGCAGAATTATTCCACCATGACAAAAATCTCCCTCATTCTGTCCCTTCTTAATCATTAGGCCCATCCACGGCCCTTCCTACTATAACTTCTGGCAACCAACCACTAGTCTCTTCTCTATCTCCGTAATTTTGTTGTTTCAGGAATGTTAATAAATGGGATCATACAGCATATACTTTTTAAAAGACTGGCTTTTTTCCTCACTCAGTATAATGCTTCTGAGAGTCATCAAGTTGTCACATGTTTCAGTATTTCATTATCTCATTGGACTAGTATTCTATAGTATGAATGTACTATAGTTTATTTAATTATTCACCTGTTATAGGATATTTTGATTGCTTTCAGTTCTGGGCTATTTTATGGACTTTTAAATATGTAAGTTAGTTATTTTATAGTATCTTTTATCTTTGAAACCAACATTTGAGGCATGTTTCTATTGACTACAGCTTTTCTCAATCATGGTCACATTTTCCTGTTTGGTCTCATGTTTAGTGACTTTTGATAGCACATTACATGTTTTGAATAATGTACTGTAGAGACTCTGGATAATGTTACCTTCCCTAAAGAAAGTTGGGCTTTGTTTTGGTAGGAAGTTATATTATTAACATAGCACCTAGAATACGTGGTACTTGGTTTTATGTGTTGTTTTGGGAGTATATTTCAGTTTCTCCTTTGCCCCAAGGGAAATCCCTTATTTTCATAACTTGCTTTTTACTTCTAAGGCATGATCCTTTTGGGAAAAGGAAAGTTTAATATCTTTACCACATCCTCTAATAGGCTGGAATCAAACTCCAAACTCTGACTCCCACAGGGTGGGCAGAAACTGAAATCTCTGTTTTGTTTTGGTTGTTTATTTTTCAGACATTAACTAATCCCCACCTCTGGACATCTTGGCATTTTTACTCGTAAATTTGTTGTTCATGGATTCAAGGGAAGTTTATACCTAGATTTTAAATACCTGCCATAGCTCACTTATTTCTGAAAATTTCAGAAACTCTGGAAGGATCAAAATCCCCCTTGGACTCCTCCAACCAACAAAACTGCAGTTTTCTGTTGCAATTCTGCTGCCCACATCCCTCAGAATGGAGAGGAGTCTACAGGAAACGCTATATAAACACAGCTGGAGGCTCATGCTGTATGGTTCTCTTCCTTGGAGGGTCGATTCTTTTCTAGTTTTTGCCCATTTTCCTGTATCATGTAATAAGCAAAATTAATTTTTTTCTCAGTATTTTTAATTTTTTATTTATGGAAAGGTGTGTCTGATACAAACATTCTGCCCTATCTTAACATGTCTTTTCTTCTTTTTGAATTTTGGTATAAATTTGCTTGTCTTTTTCTGGAAAGCATCTATGGAATTCCTAGTCTCGTTTTCCCTGACTTGATTGGTGCTGTAATCACTGTGGGTGTGGCCTCATCTCCACTTAGGAGTACAGAGTATATTCACTTTATTGCTCTTATTTATTTACCAAGTAGATCTTGCCTTGTTCTTTTACAGATAGTTCAAAATAAATAATGGTGAATGTGGGCTCGAGTTCCAGGGCTAAGTATTTACTATGCTTTAGATGTGGCTTAAATGTGACTTCCAGTGTTTTGTGTGTTGGGAGCTTGCTTCTCAGTGTGGTGATGTTGGGAGGTGGGACCTTAAGTCATGAGGCCTAGCGGGAGGTAGGCAGGTTAATTGGAGGTTCTACCCTGGGAAGAAATTGAAGGAGTGGAGGGATCCCTGAATTGCTGCCTGGTTCCTGCTTTGTGATGTGACCACTTTCTCCTGCACATGCTCCCATCATCCACTATAGTGCTGGCCTCAGCACTATGCTGTTTGAAATTTAAGAGTTCAAAACTATGAGCTAAATAAACCTCTTTTATTTACAGGATTAGCCTGCCTCAGGTATTTTATTATAGTAATGCAAAACTGACTAATAAATATAGTATTAATCTATATAACCTTCAACCTAACTTTTTTAGTCTTCAGTTCTCAAATATGTAAAATGAAGGGTTGACTGAGTCTTAATAAAAATAAAATAATATTTTATAAGTAGCTCTTTTCTGCTATGATGGTCCTGGGTACTGTATTGCGGATAAATATAGGAGAAATTTTTGTTTGTTTGTTTGTTTGGTACCGGCGCTCGAACTCAGCACCTTGCGCTTGTGAGGCAGGCGGTGGAACCACTGAGCTAAATCCCCCACCTTAGGAGAAATTATTATTATTAGGAATATTTAATATATTACCTGGACTTTATTCATCTCCAGTTTGTTCTTCTCATTGGCACTTTGATCTTGTTTGCTTGCTCCCTTTTTCTGAGGGCCTTTACCAAAAAAGATGTAATTTACAAAGGCATATTCCAGCAGAGCCAGGAACACAAACACAAAGCAACCCATCAGATAAATATCAATTGCTTTGACATAAGGGATCTTTGGCAGGGTCTCCCTGAGGTGAGTGCTGATGGTTGTCATGGTCAGCACTGTGGTGATTCCTGTGAAACAGAAAGACAAAGCTTAGTTGGAGTAACCTCCGTGAAATTGTCCTTTTCAAGATTGCAAGGACAGGTGATATTCCCTTAATAGTGCCTCAGAATCATGGCATTAGCATGATAAGCCATTGGACAAAAGGGCACACATTTTGAGAGATAAAACCAAGGCCTCCTTCCATAGTCCACCGGTAAATGGAAAGTGCATTTAATGGAGGATTGACAACATTTTTCAAAAATGTACCAAAGAAGAAGAAAAAAGTATGAAAAGTCAGATTAAAAATCTTATCAGAAGCCTGCTTCCAAATGTCCCTCAGCTCTGCTTTGTGTGGCCACCACTTTCTTCTTTCTCTATCTCATCTGTGTTCCTCCAAAATCTGTCCTTGTGATACTAATCTCCACAGAAGCCACTACCAACTAAAAGTTGATGACCAACTTGAGATCTACTCTATTCCATAAATTGATAATACATCCAAATTTACAAGTTGAGTATTGCATTTTAAAATAATGAATCATTCATGCTACAATATCACCAAAAGAAGAAGCATGTAAGAAAGTTTATGACTTACATCACATATTTCATTTATGTACTTTTTAGATACAACACAATTTTGTTGCTTTGCTTTTTCAAATATTACCTCTGCTTTCTTGGTTCCACAGCCTAGAACAAATTAATTCTCTGATGTTAGGAAAAAGCTTCTTAAAAAATTGATTTTAGAATTGTTAAAAAAGTTTAAATCCATAAACACATATCTACTTTGTGTGGGTTGCATAGGTTCATGATGATTATGATGAAATAATAATTGGGAAAAATAAGAAATGAAAAAAGAAGTTGAAATGTTGTGTAGGTAGTTGGTGCTGCAATACAATGCTATATTTTCTGTGGTGTTTTCTAGATTTACACACCTACAGTTATGAATTATCTCCTATGGCTCTCATGACAGCAAATTGAGTATGAGAGCAAAAGTCTATTATTCTTTTTTATATCTGGGTAAACATAAAATTTGAGATTAGGGCACCCAGCTGAAGGGCAAAAAATTAAGGAGATGTAAAACAACAGCATTTAAAAATAAACGGAAAAATGAGAAGGTGGTATTTGAGATTTGGTGGAAGTGTTTTAAAATAAAGGCCAGAAATATTCAATGGATAGAAAAGACAAAGGAAACTGGCAAAGGGAATGGGAAAGAACAAAATAAAAGGAAGAGAAAATGACAACTTTCACTCCTTTTTCCACTTGGATTATTCTAGATATATAGATTTCCTCATTCAAAAATTATATTTTTGAAGCATAGATAGAATAGGAAGTCAGGACTATCACACAAAAAATTAAATTTCCTTCCTTCATGTGGTGGTAAACCGGTGGCAACTCTATGACACTTGCCATTCAACTTCCAAATTTTGAAGCTATTTTTTAATCCCTTGAAAAGATGTTCCTGCTGAAATGAAAAGTAAGCAGGCATATTATCTACTACAAAGAGCTTTTAGGCCAGGGATTTAGCTCAGTGGTTTCGCTGCCTGTTGTGCAAGCACAAGGACCCGAGTTCGATGCCCCGTACCAAAAAAAAAAAAAGGAAAAAGAGCTTTTAGGTGTATCAGTGATTAATTCAAGCAGGCTGGACTTATATAAAATGCCATTGTGAGTGTTCATATTCCTTTGAACAAAATTTTAAATTTTATATCAAATAGTTATAATTACTGTGCTTGAAGAATTGCCTAATTCATTTATAAATTCACTAATTATATTTCTGCTTTAGTCTTTGATTAAATTTTTAAGCAAAAAGGGTTAGTAAATGAATGTCTTTTAAAATTACATATGTTTAAAATATGTCAGATTTACATTCTAAAATAGATTAAATAATCAGCATCTTTATCATCTCACATCTCTAATATCTGTAGTCAAAATATCATTAGCTTTGAGAATAGATGCACAAAGAGAATCACAGTTCATGAATTTACTAGCTATTCTTCCCTGCTGAGGACATCATCCTGTATTTTTTTTTTTTTTTTACTAATCATGGCACATGTGCATGACATACTCACATTCAAAGAATATGTACAGAAACGTGTATAATAGGATAAATTACTCCTTTGCTTTCTTTAGTCTTAGAATTTTCAAAGAAGCTGCCAGTCCTTGACATTGTAAGCCTTATGTAGAGGTGACTATTAGTGTAGATGTGAAAGGGTATGATGATTATTTAATCCAGCTCAATAATCTCAGAATAGATATAATACGTTGTTTTAGCCAGAAGTGATGCTCGTGTGTGTGTGTGTCTGTCTGTCTGTCTGAATAAGTCCATGACATGATTGCTAAAACGGTTGAAGTTTAAATAAAGAGGGATATCTATACATGCCCAGAATCATCAGGCACATCTTACACATTCTAACTTTCAACAAAAAATTTTAAGTCTCAAGTATAACCTTTCAGGCTTCAGCCAATTATTCAACATGGCAAGATTAATTCTGAATTTCATTCTACCAAAAAGGAAAACATTTTTTACTCTGTCTTGATCAGAGATCATTAATATAGTTGATAAATTGTATGTGCTTTATACAAAATAATGAGCTCCATTTATTATATGTGCTGCTGAAGCAAGCATAATGAGCTCCATTTAAAGGAGACTCAGCTTGACATGTTTTAACTTTAGTTAATATTCAAAAGATAGTGTTTCCCCAACAATTGATATAGCTTGTTAATGGTCACAAGGCTTGGCTTTCTTCAAGTCTATTTCAAAATAATGAGTTATAAGTGTTTTACACAGTAAAAAGCAGAGAACAAAGAGGAAGTCATCACAAATTTGGTAAAAATTTGTGTACTGTGAATTTAAAAATATACTTCACAAAGTACATAATGGGAAACATACTCTAATAATTGCCTTTCAGGTAAAATGCTAAAAATATATTTCATTGTAATAATTCATTATAAAGACTTATTCTTATGTCTAGATGATTTTTAAGTATTCCTATATTTAGATGATTTTCAGTTTAAGCACTTCTGATAATTTCTTCATCTTGTTATAAGAAAGATCTTGCATATGAGCCCTAATATTGGCTTTTATTTGAAGATACAACCCATCAACTCTGCACTCCTGGGAATGCATACCTAGTGCGACTCTGGCTGCAGATGCATCATAATTGATCCAAAATGACACCCAAGACAGAATTGTGATCAGCGTAGAAGGCATGTAGGTTTGCAAAATGAAGTAGCCAATGTTTCTCTTTAGACGAAAACTTAATGACAATCGTGGATATGCTCCTGAGTTGAAAAAGAAAGAAAAGAAAATCCAAGCATCATTGGATTGGAATCTTCTTCTGCCTTTGCAGGCATTTCTAGTTAGTTGTGAAGGAAACATCCTTACCTGTTGTGAATTCCACTTTCTTAGACACCATCTTGTAGTCAACAATGGAAAACTGAGGAAGCTCAATTTTATTAACTCCAGTTACTGCTTTCTCTCCTCCGTTCCAGTAAAACTCAATGTCATCAGTGGTATAACCATCTGAAAAGAAGCAACACCGCCTAGTTACACAGAGTTCAGGTGGTCTAGAAATTCATACTGAGGACAATTTTGGAACCAGAGGGAAGATCCTAGCAAATGATGGCGAAGTAACATTGCTCTAAGTCAGAATGGCAGACAGACGGGTCTCATGTTGAGTGCTGTTGGTACTGACTGCTTTGAGAAAAGAGATGCATCTGGCTGTAGTGGACATGAACTCTAGATCATTTAATGATATCTGATATTACTGCTGCGTATTTATTTTCATTGTGTCTACCAATAGACACCCTTGTTAAAATGAGAGATGGCTGAATTCCAGAGGTCTGGAAGAGCATTTTGGGTATGCATTATCTTACAACATTGACAACAACAAGTAATAATAATTAAATACATATTTGTTAAAAAGGAACTGGAGACATAAAAGGAGTACAGTGAAAGACCAAATTTGCACATATCTGTTAAAGGACTAGAGCATTTAAAAGACAAATGTATATTTCTTTTAGAAAATTATTCAAGCTTTTACTTTTATTTTTTGATTACAGCTAATATGTAGGTAAAAATTTTGAGAACTATATGAGATGTGATTGAAAATTAAGATGTGTGTGTGTGTAAATAATAACTTATTATAGTGAAAGACACATTGCCATTAAATCAAATTCAGAATTTTCTCCCTGGCTTGAAACATACTCATCTCATTGGTTTTGCTACTTTCTGGAGCATTTCTAGAAGTCTTTTTTCATGAGAATCTTTAGTTGTGCTGTTATAGCTACCTTAATGTCCTGAATCAATTCAATGGTCATTCTGATTTTAGGAAGAGTCTGAAGTAACCCAGTGCCAGATTGGGTGAGGACATACCATGGTTTTATGAGCCTGCCTTTCTGTTAGATGATGCTGAGCTTCAGCAGCATTCACAGTATTTTTTATCACATCTCATAAAGACATGAAAGAAGACTTTCAGAACTGCTTCAGAAAGTGGCAAGAAAGATGAAATAAATGTATTTGAAGCTGAGGGAAATATTTTTGAGGGTGATCAATGGCAATGTGTCTTTTACTGTAATAATTTTTAAAATGTAAACATTCACCATATTTTTCAATTATCCCATGTGTGAATTGTTGGTAAGACTTTGATGTCTTCTTATTTATGAAGGTGAATTAATTTAAGAGGAACATGTTGAAGATTATCCTTAGGTCTTCATCAGGTAAGGGCCTGTGTTGGTGACCTACAGAGATCTGTCTCCCTGCTCAAAAATAACCCCTCTCAGTTGAATGTGGTAGCACAGACCTGTAATCCCAGCACTCTGGGAGGCTGAGGCAGGAGGATCAAAGCTGTATTCTCTTCTTCCTAATATGCTCCCAATTACCAGGGATCTTGCTGGGTTATGGTCACGTATACGAGTAACTTGCATAACAAGAATGCTTGGTTATATTAAAAAATCTAAAAATAACTTATGACAATTTTAATTTTTTTCTCTTTTTATCAGTTTGAGACAAAGAAGACATTTATAAGTTTAAATTATATTCCACCTCAAATTTAAAAGTATCAGATCATTTTATCCATTAGAATTACTGAAGTTTATGTTTAAAAGGTACACCTAAAAGCTCTTTGTAGTAGATAATATGCTGGCCTACTTTTCATTACAGCAGCAACATCTTTTCAAGAGATTAAAAAATAGCTTTAAAATTTGGAAGTTGAATGGCAAGTGTCAAAGAGTTGCCACCAGTTTACGATCACATGAATGAAAGAAATTTAAAGGTATTTCTTTTTTTTAGGGGAAACAAAGCTGTGTCAACTTTAGTGCTTTGAGTGCTTTTAATTCCTCTTCAAAAGCTCTTTGTAAAAAATTCTTTTCCTTGACTACATTAAATTCACAACCGCAATTTTGTTTCTCTCTTTTTGGCACTCTATAAATGTTATTATGTATTGTAATATATTTTAGTGTATTTTATTTCTCTTTAAACCATCTCCTTTTATGTCCAAGAACTTGCCCTCTCTGCAAAGGGTAACTTTTCATACATTCTATTATGACCCAGTATTGACACAGAAATAGAAAACATTTACTTTTAGATATAATTGCAGGTGCCATAGAGACTGTGAGAGTCTTCTTCTCTTGGACTTTAACACAGTCTTGGCATATTGGAGATTTAGGCCAAGTTTCAGTATGAGTCTCTGAGAAAGCTTCTTAATATGTCCTTGAGAATCTGATAAGAACCTATGACTGACTCCATGAAGAAGAAAGAAAGAAAGAAGGAAAGAAAGAAAGAAACAAAGGAAGAAAGGAATGTAGGCATACAGATGTATAATTTTCATGTCCAGGAATGGAAAAGCTTCTTGTTAATTTTAAGTTTACTAAGTTAACTAGGTGATAGATTACAACCTCAGTGTGGTCCTGAATTTTAAGTACGTAGGAGAAAAACATGTAAGCAATCAATTAAGAGTTGAGAGTCACAAATAGCTAGCAGTTTAGGGTTGAAGGGGCGAAGGGAGTGGGTGAGCTAGATCAGCACCTCATGTTATCTACTGCCTCTGAAGAGCATCAGAACGCTTCAATACTGCAAACAATAAAAAAGCTAGAACAATGCAGATTTTAACAGTACAGTCATGTACCCTCATCTGCAATTTTGCGTTCTGTGTTTCAGTTACCGAAGAGTTAATTGTGATCAGAAAATATTAAATGGAAAATTCCAGAAATAATCAATCGATAAATTTTAAGCTGTACACTGTTGTAATACAATAGCATTCCATGCTTTCCTACTCCATCCTTCCCTGGAAGTGAAAGAACCCTTTGCCCAGCATTTCCATGCTGTCCTATATGTACTCCCTACCTGTTCATCACTCACTGCCCATCTCAGTTATCAGATCAACTCTTATGGTATTAAAGTGCTTGTGTACAAGAAACCCGTCATACAAAGAGTGAGGGAGATCACTTTAAAAATACTTTAACAATTCATTGTTATAATTGTTCTATTTTGTTATTATTGCTGTTAATCTCTTACCATGCCTAATTTAGAAACCGAACATTACCTTATGTATATATGCACAGGAAGAGAATAGTACATATAAGATTTGGCACTACACACAGTTTCAACAGTCCACTGGGGTCTTGAAACATCCTCTTGCAGCTAAGGAGGGACTACTAAATTTAACAGTTCATTCAGTTGATGGTCTGGTTTTTCTCCCTCACCCCAAGCTCACTTGCACTTTGTTTAAGTAAAACCCATTAGGCACAGCGTTCAAGGCACTGAGATAATAACAGATGATTTGGGGAAAAAAGAATTCTCACACCATTTCAGGTGGATGCTTGAGTTCTCATGGGAGTGATAATGGCAGCTGGATCCAAAGAAAAGAATAGAGGCCTAGAAGTACACTATTATTCAAAGGTTACACAGGAACATTTTGCCACAGAGCGAGAACATCAATTTACTCACACCTAAATAACCTATTTACCAAAGGTTTTCCTTTATGAACCAGTGACTTCACACAGCGCCTCAAAGCCTGAACACTTGGATACCAATGATGTGTTTCCTAGCAACAATAGCTACACAGAAGCTCTTGAAATTTCCTCTCAGCCCCTGGGGACTTCTTAGTGGTGCAGAAAGTACAGATAAAATTAAGTTGATGTCAATGGATAAAGATTCATGGAGCTAGTAAAATGTACAAGTATCTGGATGTTAGTGTTCTGTTTGCGCCTTGAAAGACTTTATTTTGGATGCATTTTCTAATCAGGAAATGAAAATGTACTCTCCACTGTGCTTAACAGAGTGAGAGGGTTGACCAAATATTGTATTTAGATAGGGTTCAGATACATAGAAATTTAAGCCTCTAATCCATGAGTGGGCAGAAGTAAACAGATTCCCTTTTGTGGAGAAGCCATAGCAACATGTCATATTTCATGGTGTGGATCTTGTTTGGCTCAGGCCAACTCTTAAAATATAATTGTCTTTGCTAGGTTGATTGTCTCAAGGTCATGTTGTTATGCTTTGGAGGTATCTCCCAATATTCATGTGCTGGAAACTTGATTACCAGAGCAGCAATCTTGGGAGGGAGGGACTTTAAGAGATGTTTAAGTCATGAGGGTTCCACCTTCATTAATGAAATAATATTGTTGTGAAGGTACGTGAAAATTTCAGTGACTTGAAATTACAATGATACCTACATACCCATGTTTATGGCAGCACAATTCATAAGAGCTAAATCTTGGAAGTGGCCTATATGTCAATCAACAGAAGAATAGATAAAGACAATGATGTTTACACACAATGGAGAACTATTCTGTCATAAGAAGAATAAACTTGAGTCATTTGTAGGAAATTTAATGGACCTTGAGACCATAATGTTAAGTGAACTAAATCAGGCACAAGCTTAACTATTGCATGGGTTCACTTCCAAAGTATAAATAAAGATCAAAATAAGAATAGATAATAGGAAGTAGGGAGGTAGATCTTTCTCAAAAGGGAGTGGGATCAAGAGATGTAGGGGGAGGGGAGGGAGGAAAAGGAAAAGGAATGAAAAAAGGAACTAAGATGTGTCATGCACAGGAACCAACTCCACATAAGGAATGTAAACATTACATGTTGTAAACCTGTGCCCCCCTCCAAAAAGGGAGATGACATGGATGAAGGAGGGTGGGAAAAGAAAGGTGATGAAAAAAAGGAATTAATATGTATTACATATGGTACCAATTTCCAAAAAGAAATGTAAACATTATATGTACTACAAACATGTGCTAATTAACACACACACACACACACACACACACACTCCCTCTTCCCCTCTCTTTCTCTCTCATTCTCTCAGTTAAATACAAATCTATGCAACGACTTACTTTTTGACCAGTGCCTGACAGTTTGAGTAGTCCTTCAGTCTCCAGCGGTACTTATCACTTATTTTTTTTTTCTGTCATCTGAATAGTTCATTAGGTTGTAAGGTAACTATCAGAGAATATGTACTTATAAGAAGCAAAAAAAAATCTTCTTGAAGAGCATCTATCATCTCATCCTTGCAC